GTTGAGTGACCAGGGTGGTTAGCAGACTTAAGTTCAAGTGCGAAAGCAATTCCTCCAGCCAACAGCATTATTATGACACATCGGCCATCGCGGGGTGCTTTCAGCCGGATTTCATTACCTGCTGCAAACAGCAGGGTGAGTCAGCAAAACAGCCTACTTCTCTTTAGTAACGGTGTTTCCTTCAAATTGCGTTCACGTCAAAACAACCACCAAAGGTTTTTATGTGACTTGTTTGGCTGCGTTCACGTCAAAACAACCACCAAAGGTGCACAACGGATATTAATGCTCACAATGAAGTCAAGAACGCTTGCACAGTGCTTTCCGTATACAGTGTGAGCGGCGTGGACTTTCTGGAAATTGTGACGCCTTTGGATGCAACATTGGCAACCGGCATTCGGCCAATACTGGGTCATGATTGGCTTTTCGGTACAGACTTTTGACCAATCAGATAGTGGCTTGATGCCGAACCGACAAGCATCCCGACTTTTGGCCAATTTTGTATGGGATAGGCTTTTCGGCCGTAGCAGCGCCTGACTGCGAACGGCAAAGCGGGATCCGTGTGGAACTCCGCCCAACACTCCGACACCCGTGTTTTTTTATTCACATTCTTTCCCCTCTTTCTCCGTTAGCAACTCTCCTTGTAGAACCATCATTTAGGACTGACGGTTCTTGCAACAAAACCTGCATACCATCCGAGCCGACGATCCCATGTATTTCGAGATACCTGATGGAAACGAATCTTCAACCCAGACATCCGATCTGTCTGACCGCTTTAAGTCCTCGCAGGCACGGCAAAAGCTGCTCTTGTTCCCTATGGTGTGTCGTATCGGGAACAAGAATCTAAGGTGCGTCATCCTCATCAATACCGTTGACAATAACATATGAGAACTGCGGCGCCTCATTGTCGTATTTCAGATTAATAACACCGTATAATTGGAAAAACGGGATAAGAATGGAAGCTCAGGGCTAGTCTAACACAAACATACGTGGTGCATGCACCTCTGGCGCCCAGCTCAGTCAGACATTCTAGATAGGAACTGACAGCATGCACGTCACAATAGCACTGGCTAGCCGCTATGTCATTCAGTGTTTCCAGTCGAGCACAGCGACGTGAACTCCACCCTGAAAGGTGTGCTGCACTACCGGCATCCGAACTTTTCGCGATGTCCATTGTTCTCATCTGCCGTGCAAAAGTGTCTCTGCCTCTGGGTTCCCAGCACTCCGGTCGTCCAGCTGTAGCACCCTTTCAGTGCCTAGCTGCGATGCCACACGAAGGAGGCACGAGGGCTTGGATACTGCCAGTTCGCCCTAGCCTAGACAGGGGAAGTCGAGCGGCAGAGGTCGGGTTCGAACCACGAACCTTCCGGTCAATAAATTCGCGCTCTAACCACTTGTTCCATCTCGCCCCCCAGCACTCCGAGCATCGAGTCGTTTCGGGGTGTTGCTCGAAATCCAGTGCTTGTATCTGGTTGTTTAAGGCATTCCGTAATCGGATCACCCAGCATCTTGCAGAGTTGCGGACAGTACATGCAAGATTCAACATCAGGAGACCTATTTTCGTAAAGGGCTAGATGGCTTACTGGTTAGAGCGTGAATTTACCAACCGGAAGGTTTGTGGTCTGAACCCGACCTCTAGCCACCGACTCCTGTCTAGGCTTCGGCAAACTTTCAGTATCCCATCCCTCGTGCATTCTTGAGGTGGCATGGTGGTTAGGCACCGAAAGGGTGTTACGACGCCACACTAGAATCTGAAGGTATTCCAGTAATTGGACCAGATGAGGGAATCTCGCGCGGTTTTGTGAGGTGCATTGTGAAACAGCAGTAGGAAAGCACGTGATATGAGTCCACACAGGTGTTCTAGAATGAGGAACGGTCAGTAAATGACCCACACCACTCACAGCTAATGGAGATGTGGTCTATTTATGTTGGGGGTTCGCCCTAATGCAACAAGTGAGGCAGTTGTAGCCTAGTGGTTTCGGTTGTTTCGGAAGTTAGTACTGCACAGAAACAGTCTATGGTGAGCACATAATTGCAGCAGGTACTCGTTGTCCGGGGGTATCGATTCCAGTCTTAGAAGACCACTCATTTGAGCTTCAGCAACTCGAAGCATGCCTGCCTACATATTCATATCTTCGACAAGCACAGTAATATTTAAGCTTTTAGCCCCCCACAACAAGATGCTCAAAGTGTATCAGTCCTTAGGCTAATCCATCCAGCTGTACCATCTTTTCGGTGCCTGACTGTCAGGTTTCCCAAGCCTAGGCAGTATCAGAACTGCAGTCTGTTGGGTACGACAAACAGGCTGCGGTTGTTGGCCCGTTTACAGATACTCTTATGGGCATCGTTGAACGAACCGCACAGAAGCGCATATAAACGGACAGTGATTCTATCAGAGACGGTTAAGTTCTGTTGCTTAGAGGGATGCCAACCTCAGCGGAACCAGCAGGGATAGCATTTACATCGCGAGAGTTGTGCGACCGAAAACGAGCGGAAACCGATGAGGAAAAATCGTTCAGCTGTAACACCTGTTTGGTGCCTAGCTGCATTGCCACGTGAAGAAAGCACGAGGTCTGGGATACCCTCAGGTTACCCAAATTTAGACAGGGAGAGTCGAGAGGGGGAGGCCGGGTTCGAATCACGAACCTTCCGGCCAGTAATTTCGCGCTCTAACCACTGAGCCATCTTGCCGACGGTAAGTTTGGTTAACAACCGTACTTGGGTCTTTAATCGTGGTTTCGGATAGACAGTGCGCGTAGATGATGAATCCGTAGTACATTCAATAGTAGTCCGTTTTCGGGCTAGCTTCTTCAGTGCACTGACGATGTACCTTGATTGGCGATGAAGCATTTTGCACTCCCACTGACAGGCCGTACGAACAGATCGGTAATCAAGGAACGCACCTGAACTACCTATATTCCGCAACATCGCTAGCATTCAGGGTTTGATAACTCCTGGAAAGCGTTTGATGCGAGATTTATTTCCAATTAATGGGTTCCGGTAAAGATCTACCTGTGGATTCTGATATCGATACTGGAGAGCGGGTTGATCGTGTGAAACACGGAAGCAACCAGCCGAATCCATCAGTTGTGTATCCCCCAAGTTATTATGTATCGATTTCATCACATGAATGGGAAAAGCAATGCATTGCGGATGGTCCCAGTTTGTGTGCAGTTTTCATGTTATGGTCAAAAAGTTACACACAATTAAAATAGGTCTATTAGTGAATGCGTGTAAAATAGGAGGCACGAATAAGGAATTTCTATTCACAAACCCCACAAATATACCTAGGCGAAACTGAAGTATCATAGCAGGGAACCGTTCCACAAATTAAGGTTATGTTGAGGCACCAGTGAGCACCTACCAAGTGAGTACCTATCTTCACCATGCATTCTCCCACTTTAACGCAATAACAGAGTTAGAGTGGTTCAGCAAATTTCAAGCACCGCACCAGAGTAAAATTTTTGATCACCGTCTCAATCACCAGTCGCTATGCAGGTTGATCGAAACTGTTGCGTGATGCGTGGACGATAGCTCACCAAACGTTTGAACGCCCACTTTGGATCTTAGGGAATCGCCTATTTTTTCCACTGTTCATCTATTGGATTAAAAGTGTTTGACCAGAGAATGAGCTGATCTGTTAGACGCCCTACTTGCCATGGCAACGGTTCTCTGGAGACACTATACACAGGCGACTCTGGAGAAGGTAATGGTTTTCTTTTCTATGCGCGGTCATGCCCTCTGCAGGTGTTCTTACTCAGCCTTCAAGTACTCATTACACAATGTAGCTGTATTAACAATCGGGCACATACTCTTGGAGGGGGGAAGTGACTCAGTGGTTAGAGCGCCAATTTACTGACTGGAAGGTTCGCGGTTCGAACCCGACCTGTGCCTCTCGACTTTCCCTGTTTAAGCTTGGGCAACCTGGCAGTATTCCAGCCCTCGTGCTTCCTTCGGGTGGCATGGCAGTAAGGCAATGAAAGGGTGCTATAGCCGAACGATTCTACAATTTTTCTTGGAAAGGCATGCGGAAATGTGCAGTAAATGTGTTATGTGAATTTTTGATATTGAGTAGCCACATGTCAGTGCCTGTTTTATTCGCTGCATTATCCTCACAGATGTTTGGTGTTCTTCAGCGCTTTGCCCGTAGAATGGCCATCCCTGGATGCTTTCTCACGTGGGATACAAGTGTTACTTCACTGAACTCGCGCACCGATTCCCTTATCAAAAGGGCGCGTGCGGTTTATGATCAAATCGGATCTGTTTCAAATCCCACATGGCGATCTGTTGCTCAGGTATGCAGCTAGTTTTTTGATATGCATTCGCTTCTAGTCTCTTTCTTATTTCGAGGCAGAATATTCTGTTGAGAAGGAGATGTTGACCTTCCCGCAATATGTGTTTCCGGATAAGAGTGTCAGAGACGCAAGTTGTGATGCTGCTCGCAAGATATCGGATGTCGAAGTTGAGCTTGAGTAAGTTTGATAATACGTGTTATCATTTTGTGCATTCGTACTCCATACACCTCCTTGTACTTGAACACGAAAGTTTTTCATATGGCATTTGGCTGGATTTGTCACCGATCAACTTCGGTCGTTACGATGCCCTCGAAACTGCTTAGTTTTTTCATGTTTATTCATGTTTATATTTGTCGTTCATCAGGTTTAAAGAATGGCCTTCATGTACATGGATCATCTGACATCGACAGCGGACAGTGCCTGAAATTGCACCTAGTCTTCGGCTGTTGATCCAGTGTGCCTAGATGCGCTGAATCAACATGAACTTCACACACATTGTCAGGTAGTGTTTGCGAAGATTCAAATAAAAGCGTAAAGCAGAAACCTACCTTAGGTGATGTATTCTCCTAGTGTCTGTGTGTAAACAGGACGCTTTGTGACTTTTAAATAGGTGCTGTTCATAACCCTAGAAGAGCTCTCGTTCCTGATATTTCTAAAAGTAGGGTTGACTCCTAACGAAGTATTGGTGTCTTGAAAGGAACTAGTCTATTTAATACTCCCCTGAAGTCCAGCTGGCCTGAGTTGGCCTATATGATTCAAATGGAGCTTTTTAGATTTTGATAAGAACGTAAAAACGCGCACGAGTGGCTCGAGGGGTTCTTTCCGATAGTCTACATGTAACACCCTTTCGATGTCCAGCTACCACACCATCCAAAGGAAGCTTGAAGGTGGAGATACCGTAGGCTTGCTCGAGCCTAGTGAGACGTTTAGAATGTGTCCGAGAACGAGTTAGAACGGAGTCCAGGTTTTCGACGATAAGCAACGTTTTACTTGTCCAAGAGCAAGCGTGCATGAGCTGAAATGTACGTACAAAGGTTCAGTACTAGTAAACATGGTAAGTACAAAAATAAGCACACAAAAATCATGACACCTAGACAGTATCAGTTGGGATGCCGGGTGTGGATTGGAACCGTGAACCTTCTGGTCAGAAGGTCCGAGCCCCAACTAGTGAGTTGTTCCGAGCTCAAAGGTCTTTACTATGAATAGTCTAATTGATGGGACACTCCAGTGGGGCACTATCTTATCGTACTTGACGGAGATTAGGCTTACGATTACCCAGGTGATCTAATTTTTGCTGAGGTTGAGGTCCTTGACTGTGGTCCATTTTGGATTTATCGATCACTGTTGTTTAGGCTTATGAGCCTTATCATTTGTGTGCTATATTAATAGACCGACTGTACACAATATCTAGACGGTTTTTAGAATATCTTCAACTCAGTATATTGTGCACACGCCCTCTTTATAAATCAGCTCACTGGTAGTGGAGGCACTCTGCATGATTGGACTTGAGGTTCCAAATTTATGTTCCCATTTAAGTACCCATGACTTTCTGAAAACAAAGTTTCTGAAAATACAAATAGATGCTGAGGTATGTTTCTTGTAGCTCACTTTGTCTGGAGCAGGAAAGTAAATTTGCAGCAGGACTGATATAGTGGTTAAAGTAAAAATAAACTTACTTTCATCCATATATTGAGTCGCTTTATAGTGTCCTTCTATGAATCTCTCTCATTAGAATGCGGAAAGACGTCTTTGATCAATTTGTGCATATCCAATCTCACCTGGACTCGACTGTACCAGCTGAAATGAAGCGATATGTTGACAGAAAAGTTCGTGACGGACGGCGAGCAGGTGTGAACTGTTTCCTTCGGAACCCCTAATTAGCTTCTCCCATCTCAGGTCTACATCTGGATGAAAAAGGTCGCAAGAAAATTGAGGAGCTGTCGAAAGAAGAGAATCGGTTATGCATAGATTTCCAGCGAGCGTTGGATGAAGAAAATACGGTGCTTGAGTTTACAGAGGAGGAATTAGGTATCGAATTGTTATCATTACCACCGTTTTGTGATTGCTTATTCCAGTTACCAATCGCTGAGTTATTTCGTTTATAGTTAATTTGTGTACGAAGACCGGTAACTATTTATATGTGACTCAGTCTGTTCTTCTCCCTATTTGACTAAACTGTAAAGTACTATGATCGTTGCTTTAATTTCTACCAGTAAAATTATGGGCTCTAACAGAATCGCCATCAGTGCAAGAAGCGGAGCAATTCGAGAGATGTTGCCGTTTAGAACGACCCGATTGTCAGTTCTAAGTGGACGAGAACGGTTGGAACACTTCAAAAATCTCCAATCCTTTCGGAATTACATGGCACACTAAGAAAGCGACTTCAGAAATTGTATGTTTCCGGCAGTTTACAACAGCCTACCACTTGGATAAACACTGGAGGAAGTATTTAAACAGCGCTGGTCATTAAATGTTTATCTTGGGAAGAATACTGGTTGGTCGGCGCCTTGGTTTCTTCTGATTTTATCTGTAGACCTATGCTGAAATTCCGAGACATCTTAAAACCAGTTTGTTTCTTTAGTCTACTGGAAGCTTTTTTCTCAGCCAATTTGTCAGCCTCCATGGAATAACGTATTCAGATAGTACGACCTGGCCATGACCAGGGGTATGGATACTGCGCATTTGAAGGGTTTTCGCCTGGCCTTAAAACCTCTATCTTTTATTTCAAGGATACACTACTGTTGTCTATGAAGAAAGATATGTATATTGCTCTTAAGCTTTCCAAAAAAAGCTGTTTGCGTTACCTGATAAAATTAAAATATAAATGTCAGCAGTACCAACTACAAAATGTGAAAACTGTCGGGGCGAACCAGAAGTTGTACTACTGAATAGAAATAGAAATAGAAGTGATCTAATCGTTGGTGTCAACTAGATGCAGGATGGTGCAAACTCAGAGTCAAACACGTTGCTCACCGTCAGCTATCGGTGTTTTTCGCATCATATTTCTTCGTTATTCGGGTACTTTTAATGTGTCGTTTCTTTAACTTAGCATCTGTTTTATCGAATGCGTGATTAGCTCTTGCGCTTTTGCAGACTAGGACAGTTCCATTTGGGCTCCGAGCTAGTATGCTTTTGCGCACCCTCAGAGACAAATACTTATGGTTTATTCAGCTGGTTGGCGAACCATTTAACGCTCACGATGCAGCGGTTTAGTGTTTTTCACTTCTCACAGATTTGTCCCATCTAATCTTGCATCCACAGACTAACCTTTTAATGACGTTCTCATCTCGTGTTATCTAGTGACGCTGAATGCAATCACACAGTCTGCCAATTCAGCAGTGGAGGCTGATGTCAGTTGTATGCTCCCGACTCCATCATAGCCACTCGTTTTAAAAAAAACTCCCACCTTTCTACTTTTTTTTAGCCGGCTGTCCAGAGGACTTTCTCAGGGGTCTTAAGAAGGTGGGTCTCTTTAATTCAGCTAATTTTCTGACAGTTCGCGTGGTGAACAACAGCACATTGGTTCACAACTTTTAGCATTGTACTCTGACTTGACGTTCTCATGGGTTGTCCTGCAGTAACGAATGCACAGAACCGTATTTCTCATTTCATGCTACCTTTCAGTGTTTTCTGAAGCACTACAGTACTCCCCACGACCTAATTAATCTCCGTAACGGTTCTGATGTGGCCATGTGACTCTGCACAGTGGCAAGTGCCAAGCCAATCCCTCTACCCGTAGTTTGACCACCTCCGTAATGCTGCTTAATTCTCCTGACTTTTAAGGTAAAGTGAGTCCTGCACAAAGTTACCTCCAATTATTCCTGGTGGAGTATTTCCTTATTTTCCCAATCAATTATATACGAAAAATGAGCTTCAGCCGAGTTTTCCTGTTAAGCGGCGCTCAATCGAGTTTGCTACCTATCTTCTCTCACTTGCACGGAGATATAGGTGCACCAGGAAATACGTACGTTTGCGTGTTTGTTGATGAAACAACAGCGGCAACTGGGGATTCTCCCCACGACACTCACAGAGTCTCTCACACCAGGTTGGTCAATGGTTAGAGGTCTGACGAACACAGTCTCCTGGCCCTCCAGTTTGGGGGTTGGAACATGTAGTGACTTGTTCCGTAGAAATGGTAATGCATTTCCTGGCAAACACCGCTGCCTTGTGGTCAGGCTTTCGAGCCAAAGGCTTTGGTTGAGGATCCTAATCGTCCTCCTGTTTAGGTGTGGTCACCTTGGCAGTATCCCAGCCCTCGTACAACCGTGACATTCACAACTAACAATACTTTCATGCCACATCGGCCGTCACGTGTTTCACGGGAGTGAAGCATCGGTGTTGAACACTGATGTCATGCTGTCGATGATGACGATGATGATGTTCAGAACATCAAGAGACCCTCTACAAGGCCCCTAAGGGGTCGGGGCAGCCCGAATCCTCTCCAAGTGCAAGCTAATCACTACTACTCAGCTGCTCGAGGCCGAAATTAAGTGTTCAACCACTGGCCGTAAGATTACTGGTTCGAACCCCCCTACTGCAGTATCGTCACATGCGTACTGCTGACGATTTCCAATAACGATGAAACAGCTGCACAGTGCTTCTAGACTTTTCAGTATAGATTGGGCTCACTGACAGGATGAAACCTCATTTGTGAATGCAAATAGTTAATATTTTCAGCTGGGCCATGTGGACGAAGTATAGTCCTACTGGTGCCGGCAACAACACTTGACGAACGATGCGATTGTAGCAGGAGTTCTTCATCATTTTAGGAAATACTGTACACATTCTGGGTGATGATTGCGTCTCCTACGTTTGGCCTGACCGCAGCACATCAAAGCTCCGTCCTACTGTGTTACTAAGCATTGATTGATAACTCGAGATACTCTGAGGGGACGTAGACCTCAGATGAACACCAGATGCCCTCGATAATATTTGCAGCATAACACTGGTTGAAAGTTATTTTGCTGAATTGGTTATACAATCCACAATAACCCTTCTTTGTATACTATGATTTCCTTTGAGGCTGTACGTGTCAACATTGCCTACTGTCACTACCACGATACTATCACTTTCATCCGTTTCCAATCCCTAAATAAATAAGTAACCACAGCCTTTTAACGTAAGGCCTCTGATATAATGAGGCCTCCCCGGAGGCCCAGAAACTCGGCTATTAGACGATAAGTCTTGTGCAGTATACTTGCAGGATACAAGGCTTTATCTTCTGCCTTCAGCTGCCCAACGCCGAATGTGTTTATGCTGACATCCTGGGAGGCGTAAAACAAGGGTTAATTCAATCAAAACGCAGTGCATACGTCTGTTAAATTCTTTACCCAAATGAATTGCAGTGTCCAAAAAAGGCACACGAAGTGATTCTGAACAGCAAACTCAGAGTGCATTTTATCCACAGTCGTTACACACATTTTGCTGCCCATTTGTGGTGGCTACATCACCGCATCATGGTTGGTAAACAGGTTATCATCCTGACCTGGCACAAATCCTAAACCTCTGAAATTTCGCCGCTTGCAGTGAATTAAACAGAATGACAAATTGATCAATTGAATGTTACGACCGTATACATAATGTTTTCACGCCGCAGGACGCAGGATAGCGTGAATAGTTCTAAAAAATACGATTCAGTTCAGGTTGACTACTTCGAACCGTGCATGTACGCACGGACATTGTAAGATAGAGGGGTAAAGATAAAATATTTGGAAAAACAATTAAAAAATGAAATGTACAGTATCAGGTGCAGAATCGCAATGGGATTGATCAACCGGTCAGTGTGACTTTTCACCCTTTGTTCTCGCCCCTCAAAGGTAGTCGGGAAAGACTGATAGACGTACTGAGGTATGTTTACCGATGTATATATATATATATATATAGTTAAGATTTATCACCCTTTCGGCGCCTAACTGCCATGCCACCGGAAGAAAGCATGAGGGCCGGGATACTGCCAGGTTGCCCAAATCTAGACAGGGGAAGTCGAGATGCAGAGGTCGGGTTCGAACCATGGAACTATCGGTCAGTAAATCCGCGTTCTAACAGCTGAGTCACCTCGCCCACAATATATATATATATATATGCTGTATATACCTACAGAAGCCTACTACTTTTACTCTCCCATCTTCTCACTAGCCGGTCATGACTCACTTACAAACTTAATGAATTTCTCACTTGTCAGCTGCTTTAACCTATGTCACTCAGCAAAAATCTACCCTCCCTCATAGGTAATATTGACTGGCAAGCAATGGGCACCGTTGCCGTTGGACAGAGAGCTTGGAGTAGTTTTTTAACGGATAGTTTTGCTAGGCCTTCTTTCGTGATCAGATCTGACCACCAAATTACAGTCTGATGGAACTTATACTTGTGCTCTGATATGTCAGAGTGGTGCATACATTCCGTCCTTACTTTGTGGTTCTCTCCGCGGTGTTATTATTCTCAGTATGATGTCCAGGTTACCAGTATCGTCTAAATGAGTAAATTCGATGCTGTTTTTTCAACTTCAACTATCCCTCATAACATACGTACATGTCATGTAACATTCCTGCCGCCCACCATCCAGGCGTCTTCGGGGAAGCTGCAACTCACTCTGAAATACCCTCACTATTTTCCCGCATCGGAAAAGGCGTCGAACCCCGCTACGAGAAAAGCACTAGAGAAGGCTTTCAACTCTCGGTGAGTCGTCAGAATAGTTGCAGCTGTCATCGCACTGTTCTTCGTAGTGATGTATTTGGTGATATAGGGTCTATAGAGTTTCACAAGGATCGTCTAAGATAGATAGGTCCACCATATCCTTACGGAACGACTGTTCATGCATTCACTTAGAGTCCGAAATGGTCGGTCTGAACTGCCAATCACTGTCAGTTTCCATAAGAGTTACTACCATCCGGTCTGTAGACATTTCTTTCCCAACTTCCTTTTTTGAAGAAGAGTTTTAGTGAGCACAAGAAATGATAAAAGGATGTATAGATTCAGTACTCCATGTTGATAATATTTCATTAAGCCTGTTCGGTGTTTTGCACATCATTGTGAATCGGGTGAATTACTGTGAATCCGAATCGTTGTACTTCATGTTTGCAAGCCACTGTGGACTGTGGGGCTTTGGTAACAAACACTTGTTTGCCTTTTCAAATCATGAACTTCACGTAACTCGTCTGTGAATAAAGAACAAATCCTCCTCATGCTCGGTCTTTCTTCCATGTACCAATCATCCTCCCCCAAACAGTTGCATCAAAGAGAACACTCCCATCCTGAAACGCCTTATGGAGCTTCGTAAAGAAGTGAGTGTTTCGATTTTACCCACTTCTGTGATCGAACATAGGATATCCTACTACTAAGTATGCTTTGCATACTGTCAATCCTGATTTCTGACATTTTTTCAGGTTGATTAGACAGATAGATAGATAGATATGCCCTCACTGACTCCACTCCGTATGGCAAGATACTAGGACTTATACAGTAAATTGTCTAAATAACGGGGTGTTTTCAAACTTGCGAACCGCTACACATTCTTCGTTAACCAGAGGAATCACCGTATCTCCAGCTGCCTATGGTGTGTATTTTGACTATACCGTGCGCTCCTCTCGTTCGGCACCTTGGAGATCACAGAAAATGATCCTGTCTGGTGGATACCGCTTATCGGTGGTAGGGTGGGGGGGGGGTAGATAAAACGAAGCGAATGACCGTAATACAGTAAGGACTTTGTTTTTGTGTGGCTGCGAGACACGGCCTCTCTAGACCGATGATTTAAAGAATCTCCAGCTTTTCAACCACAAAAGCCTCAGAAGCGTTGCTGATGTCGAGTGGCATCAGGGGATTCATAGCAGTGTAATTTCAAAAATGGTGTTTGGTTATGGTGGGTACTTCAATCCAGGAAGACATCCAGCAGCATCAACTGCGATAGCTCTGCCATGTGCTACGCATGCCGAAACACCAGCTACCGTGACAAGTGTTGTCCTTTGTCTCTCACTTAGAATGGCGCAAACCGCGGAGTGGACAACTTATGGCTTGGCAGTAGGGTGAGAGAAAGATTACGAAAAGCTCGCGTTTCGTTAGTGTAGTGCATCATCCAGGATGGGTACCTGTGACCCGTTCTGCATTTGGCTGGAGAAATTGCATTAAAGCGCGACCGATCTATGTCGGCGGCGCTTGTCTTGTCAGTTTTCCTTCAGGTTGTTTGACTGAACGCTTGGATGTGTAGACACCTTAGATTGCTTGCCAACTCCTCATTCACCCACTCTTTTTTGTTCTTTTCACTCTAAGGCTTTAAACATAATTAGGTTAGCTCTGTACTTGTACGACAGTGAAGCATCAGTGTCAACCCTGATGTTTTTGCCTTTTCTTCTTTTGACGGTCTTTCGAGCATCCAGTCTCATCGCAGCCAAACTCAGGTCAGCTGTTTCTCCGCGAAACTAGCGTCCTGTGATTCTTGAAGAAAGGCGGTAACTATTAAAACTGAATTGGGTCGAAATAACAGAAGTCGCTCTGTCTTTTTTGTGAGGTTTGGTATTTTATAAATCAATCCCATATTATGCTCTTTATACCTGGAAAAAAGTACTCCTGTTAGGGAAAGTTTCATGGCTGGATAGAGAATTGGAAGGACCACTATGAATGAACATACCATCATATAGTGAAAAGAAGCAGCTTGATACAAGGTTATAGTTTCTTCTATCCCATCACCGCACTCCTCGAATCTTGGCATAATTGTGACCCTCAGGAGGATCTGACAGCCCCACAGAATCCAGTAAACTCAATCATATCGTTAAACCGGCGAATGTTTCAAGAAAACAATTGTTCGCTTTGATCCATTCATGTATTACAGGAAGGGAAAAATGATGTTTTATCTCTTTAGCCACTATGAAGGGTGTTACGGAGTCACCGCAGTGAGCTATGGTTAAGACGTGCTGTGCAGTTGATGAGGCTGATTTACGAACCCCGTTCGGTTGTGTTGAATGATATCATTTGGCGGTTTCCTTTCTAACCTTTGATGAGTCTTCCTTTTATCAATGCATGCATCTTCGCAGCTGCAGGTTAAGTGGCAAACATGTGAGGCGATCGTGTCAGTTTCGTTTGTTGCATTTTTAAGGTTGGTTGACACTTATGCGTGATATCGACAACTAAACAAGTTAGCCTGAGGAATTCCTCACTTAATGCTTCCGACTTCATTGCCTCACATGTTCACCTGAAGTTGCGATGACGTAAGCGCTGTCAGAACAAACTGAAGCTTATGTGAACGCATTTCTGAAAATTTATCAAAGTGTGTTGTACAAGTATGCTCAATCGAACTATCGGACCAGTACGTTGATCCATCCCATCCTGTTAATGAAATGGCACACGTCGCCTACTCACCACCAGTGGAACTTCGATGGACAGACTGAGCCACTCGACGTTGCATGCACGTAACATAGGATCGGTTTAATCAGTACAGATCTAAGGTCGCCCCCGATTGATTGGCGTTTTCAAACGGCTTCCCTTTCAAAGCGGTAAAACTGGTTCACAATTGCGAATTGGTGGTATTGGTGTAGCGGGTGGAGGGCTTAAACAACAGCATCTATCTTCTTGCTAGGTTGATAAGATTTCGGAAAAACCTACTCATATGAGCCCCCGATTGGCGTTTTCAAACGGCTTCCCTTTCAAAGCGGTAAAACTGGTTCACAATTGCGAATTGGTGGTATTGGTGTAGCGGGTGGGTGGATTAAACAACAGCATCTATCTTCTTGCTAGGTTGATAAGATTTCGGAAAAACCTACTCATATGACCGCATTTGCGTGTTGTATACATAGGACATATAACTAGGATATATATATATATATATATATATTCTAGTTTAACTGATTAGAGGAGATTAGAGTCGAGGCGCTCCAGTTTAGAAATAATACAAGGTTTGGGGAAACAAGTCTCGTGCGTTCAAGGCAGAGCAGAATATATAAGTTGACTATTCCCCAACGGAAGAGCTCTCGCTATTTGGAAACAGCTTTCCTGCGTTGTACGTTTTAACGGATATACTTTGCTGTATCTTCGTGAGCACGTACAGCAGTCGAAAACGTAGAACAAGCAAGCTAAAACGAATCATTTGGTTACCAAGTTGTTTCTTTTGGTGTAGATCAGGTTACCGGTCTTGACCACTATCTCAGGAGATC